AAAAGTAACGTGTGATATGTGGTACTTACCGCAGGAAGTGAGATGCCCAGCAATCGACGGTGAAAATATGAAGTTGGTCACATCGTTGGAAAACGATTTGCATCGTAGAATGATTTCCGCATCTCGCCAGTTCCAGCATCCCTGAGAAACAAGTAGCTATTCATGATCGGCCCACCGTCAATTGACACAACTCCGGATTGGTTTAGATCCAATGGATTGGGATTTGGGTGGATCCAATACCACCTTCGGTTGCGCTTCGCCTAGGGGTAACGGTTTGCTTGCATGCCAGCACGTCATCATAGATTTGGCAATTGTTTAACGGCCGCTTGCTGTCATATCCATAAAAATAACTGAGGAAGAGAATTGTGATAAGTTCAATCGCTATTCAAATTTTGGTAACTTACTCAAACTCTAGTATTTCCGAAGGAATTGTACAGGACGAACGTTCTGGCTTGGAAATCAATTTTTAATCTTTTTTCACAGACCCTTGACTTGCTTGTGACACGTTAAAATTTGTTTGTTACCGCTTGTCAGCAACCAAAAAATTTCAAAGGTTGCTAAGTTAAGTGCAACAATTCGATCGATTTTGGCCACGTGTGGTATCGTTCAGACGAATGAAGCATGCATTTTCGGGTAGTCCTTTCTGTGTCCCTGCAAGCGGTAGATACGTAGGGTAGAACAGGGGAAAATGCACCCCGGGCAAAACACCCGATTTGTTTTTGCATAGCTATTCCGCTCTTAATTCTGGGTTTATTGTACCGTAATGAAAGTTTAAGTACTAAACTAACACTGTGGCTTGTCCCCTCCCCTTGGCTAGTTTTTGCACCTTGCTGTTGTCATGCTTTAAAGTGGAGTGTTGGAGACGGCTGGTTTATGCCCAGCGTTGCTGGCTCATGCCGCAATAGAATGGCGCCATGGGCAGGCAATGGGGATTACTAAGCTTCCCCTCTCTGATGAACCACTGCATGAGAAAACCAAAGATCTAGTCCAGCAGTGTTAGTATCACACTTGTTACTCCTTTGTTTGAGAGCCGCGTCGTAGTACGCTTACGTATAGGCACTGACGTTGGGTGCGATACTGGCGGGTTTTGCGACAAATCATTCTTATTTTATTTTTATTTTTACGCAGATAGATTTATTTGGGTTTGCAAAGGAATTATACTATTGAAATATATAAGAAAGTGCCCAACAGTGCTCCTTCTACTTGCGTGACAAGCTTTTATTGTTGTTTTCATTGAGGTATTACTCAGGGAACAATGTTAAACGCCATTTTTGTACATGGTATTGTAACTAATCTTATATGTGCTTCATTTTGATTTGGGATAAGTGTTTGAACTATATGGCTCGGGATGTCCACTGTGGCGTGCTTCTATTGTGACATATCCATACATAATTTTGTGGGACGAAATAGTGGAAGCGTGTGAGCATAGTTGGAGCATATACCCTATACAATTTAAAAATCAGCTAGGAAACTAACTTCAAAGTGAAGCATTTTAGTCACTTCAAGGTATCACTTGGGTCGAACTAAGATATAATAAATAGGTATAGGTCAAAATCAAAAGTACTTGAAACACGTTTAACTTTAGATTACAAGTACAAGTGCAGGTACTTAATAAAGCATGGGTTATGATTGATTAGCTGGATTAGAGATTTCAATTATTTATTGAGGCTAATGAGAAATCACAATCATCAAACGAACTTATATAAGAAATTTCAGAAAGCCTAATAACATTAGGTAGATTAACCAAAGAATTAGGATGCGGGGGGTCCGCTTAGGGAGGCAACTAACCTTTAAAGTTGTATAATACATTTTCCTATTAAGTTTCGAACTTCAATAAGAAAACGCAAACAAACCAATAGCATTTAGCAAATTAACAAGGAGAGGAATAGCTTAGGAAATAAGTAAATGTAGAGGTATGTGACAATTGATAACTTTTAATCTTTTGTAGGTATTGTTTTCCCCTGAGTTTATTGTACTCGATTACTAAATTATTCTCTCAATACGCAAAATCTCTGATATATGCGGTTAAAGCATTTGAGTCAACTTATTTCTTAGTGTTCAAATACTTACATTTGTAAACAGCAGTCAATGTTAATCTATGAACAAAACCCTAAGTGACTGTAAAATTGATCTTTTCTTAAGTGGTAGGGTAGAGAACTACTTCGGCCTAATCGCCCATATCGGGCCTATCGAGCAGAAAATTTCAAATAAATCCATGATTTCAGAGTTCACAGGTCAATTATGCATTTGGTACGATACTTTAGTTAATAAGCTACGGAACGAAGTCAATGAGAACGCGTGATATGAAGGTTTGCACCCATTATTCCCAAAAACAAAAGAATCGCTCCAATTCAATCAATTTTTATCTTCATCCGATAGGCCGAAGGGAATTTATTGGCGTTTCAATGCGTTAGACCGAGTTTAGAATCCGTTGGCCGAGTTTGGTGTCAAGAAGCAGTGTTATACTTTTGACAATATCTCAACGATTGGTTTCTCATTATCAAATCTTACGGTACATACGGAAAGGTAAATAAATTTGGAAGCCATCAGTAATAATAAAATTCCGTTTGGTGCTAAACTGCGCTAGATTAAGAAAGACTAATTGCGAATTGTGCTTAATAGGCCGGAAATGGGGTAGTTAACCCTATTGACGCATCGATGCATGTTTAAAGGCCGGCACACAATGCATACGTTTTCGGGTTTTTTTGACAGATAATTCATGGGCTAACTGTCCAAAAATCTATTGTGCGCCGGCCTTTAAGCCTTTAACTTTTCGCGGCTGTCGGATTCAACGCGCCTACGTCTACGGAGCTTACGCAGAAGTGATTCGCAATTCGGTAAAGCTTGTCAAAAGTGTTTTGAGCTGATGTAGTTTAGAATTTGTTCGGTACGGTCGCGAAATTAAATAAGTAGAATATCTAGGGAGGAAACTAAAATTAATCAACTTGCCAACATAGGCTATCACATTTATTTTGGTGACACTCTTTAAGTGATAATAAGCTGTTTTTTTTTCTCTACGGTTGTCTCGCGTGGTTTTCGTATCTTACGTAATTTAGATGTTTTGCTCTGCTGACTCGAGGTCGTTCCTTAAGGTTCAATTTACTTTGATGCATTTTCAAAAAATTCAAATGCATTTTTTTCGACGCATCATTTTAGATTACAAAAAAACTCACGTCATTATATTCTTTTTGCCATTTTACACAAAATGACGCGAGCTTTTTGCAATCTGGAATGATGCATCGAAAAAAACTGCATTTGAATTTTTCGAAAATACATCAAAGTAAATTGAACCTCAAACCCAAGGGAATTGACTATGCGCGCCACAGGTGGTGGTACTACCAACTACGATACTTTTAAATTGACCGTTAAATGCTTGTTCCATGAACAACTTGCTAGTGTTATGTCTGTTTGTCTGTGGTTTTAAGTTTAAGATCAGACTGAAGTGCATCTGATGTTTATTTAAATGAAGCTTTTCGTGTTTACAGATGATTTTCAGTGCTACGTTTTCTGATCGTTTTACACATTAAAATTAAATTACTGATGATTTCTATAATGTATACTCAGTGACCTTTATAAACTTATCTAAGGTATCCAATCCGGATACCACAACTTCTTCCCCTTTTAAAATAAAATAAACCTGTTTCATCACACATGGTTATCACAAGATCGACCACGTGCTTTGGTCATGCACCCTACATTGTGTTGCTAGATCCGAGTTATCCGCTTCCCTCAGGGCCCGAGGAAAATAACCTTTACCGTCAGAGACATCTTGGCGAACCGTGATCTCGATTATTTTAATTTAATTTATGTGTTTTTAAAACGGATCGATCTGAGGATTTAGTAGTTAGTGTCATCTTGTGTTCTCTCAAGTTGCTAGGTTCCCATCGGTGTACCCCCATGTTCGCCTTTTTCTCCAGTATGTCGCTTAGTTCTAGATCAAGAGCACATTGCTCGAAAAAAACCTTGTTTTCTCAATTCCTACCCTACCATCCGTTCGTTACAATTTGTTACCCCTAACCTCGCGATAGCCACGAGTAATCGGCGCCCGCTTTGTTAACGTTAGTTTTGAGTAATTTTGTAACCCAAACTATGAATATCGGCTCTGCAAAGCTACGGCAAATGAGCCTGGAAAAATAAACGCATTTAAAAAAAAAGTACCAGAGCTGAGCCAAAAAGTTTAGCACGTATCTTCGGGACCTTCTGGTCTTAGAGTTATCTCCATGGTGGTACTGTTCTTGGGTAGAATTTCTGGATAATTTTTCAGACTGCAGTGAGATGTTCACCGTGCATTTCTTTGGCATTTTTCAAATGAAAATTCGGAAATTTTAAAAATGATTTTCCCAAAAGTTAAAAAAAATATGTAGGTTTGATGAAAATAAAATCCAACCTATTCAACTCATTTTCGCTTCGGACGCCGTGGTGAGCAGGCAGCAAAAGCAGTCGTCTGGCCCGCCGTGGCGGTGTTAAACGTGTCTACGGCCATCGATGTCGTCTACGCTTTGAAGTGACAGACGAACTCTGTACAGCTTCGGAGGTTAAATAATCACCAACTTTGGCAACAAAATGGCTTTTTTCTGGGCCAACAAGCTTATTACAGTAAAAAGTTAGAATAGAATTTATCTGCCTGTTGGTCCATATTCAGAAACACATGCCCCCAGCGACCACATAAAATGCTCTCCAGAGTTGTAATCTTGTAACCAAACTTGGAAGCAGGGGTGCAAGTGATTTTAATCGATTCTCTTCATCAACTTTCTCTTAAAAAAAAATACTTCAGTTTTGGTACGCCTACAAATCAAAAACGGAAAGAGTTAAGATAATATAGATGATTGATCAATTAAAAGAACTAAATTTTCTTCACATTTGTTTCGTGCCCTAGCGGTCCTACGTCAAGCTCCCGTTCATTCCCCTAGGCACGGACCCTTCTACTTTTTTAGTTTCATGCTATGGTATAGCAATATATCTATACTAATTGGATATCTTTCAAGATTCAAAAACGGCGATTGAAATATAAATCTTGCATAGTACAAGTAAACATTTTATTAAGTATGCGTAATAAAAATATATAGAACAACAGTTAAAATATATATATATGTATATATGCTTTTCAATATACGTAAACAGTTTTGAGCATTTGTATTCGGCGTAGCAAACCTATTTTTGTTCTAAAATCGCGCTTGTAAGCTCCATCTGGTCTAAATATTTACACTACGAAACTCCGATTATTATCACAAAATTCATAAATATTGTCAACGAACTCCGTTTCTCTAATATTACGACCGGACGATAAACTGTTTTTCGAAGAACCAGCCGTACTGCTACTGGGAAGAGCCATCGCCCCTAGACCGTACGACGAGGATATTTCGTTCAAGCTGTCTGCTGTGGAACCCGAAGGTGAATAGGACGAGTAGAATCCACGGAACTGTTTGGCCTCCTGTGCTTCCAGCAAAGTTTTCAGGTTATCGATAAGTGGAGATTTCTCCTCTATTTCGGCTTTCGTCTGCAGCAGCTCCTGTTCGATTTCGATGATTTCCTTCGCGCATGTGTCGATCGATTCCTGCAAACGGTCAACGTGAAAATCGAGACCAATGTGCGATCGGTAGATTTGGTTCTCCGCCTGGAATTTGGCACTCTTCAGCTTGAGACGACGAAGTAGCTCGTCTTCCTGTTCCAGCAGTTGCTGCATCTCTTGCATTTTGGTTGAGATTTCTTGGCGTATCAAATCGAACCGGAATGAGGTCCGGTTGAAGGTTCCTTTGCGCAACTCGAGATTTATGTTTTCAAAGTCATCTATTGGTGGCGTTACATCGTCACTCTCGTAGTCCAGCTTACGACGATTTACTTCTCGGCTTCGTAGTGAACCGTATCGCCGTTTGGGACGTAATTTTCGCTTTGGAGTTTTATTATCCGGCGCTGGTTCATATATGGGTTCTTTGGTAAGTTTGTCAATCTCGACCATGGACCCAAAGTTGGGCTTCTTCGGAAGGGTATTCTTGCGCCCCAATGGATTGTTGGTGAAAATTCCGCTATCACTGTCGGAGGTGTGTTCGATCACCAACAAAAGTTCGTCTTCGTTCTTCAAGGCTTCGATTTGATCGGATGATTCGTAAAGTTTTGGTTTCAGCACCTTCGTTTCTTTGTATTTCTTGGCAGTGAACAGTTTGTTCGGAAATGTGCTACGTCGTGATCTATCCTTGCATTTGCACGGCTGGTCACTGCTCTCGTCACTGGGATTGGAGATGTCGTACAGTGTGGTTGCGTCTTCGAGGAAATTTTCCATGATTACCGTCTTGCCGCAGTGTTTCTTTACGTATTTGCGGAATTTCTCCTGGTTGCGTTTTTCGGTTGATTTTTGGCTGAAAGTTGAAGAAAATAGTAATCGTTATCGAGTTGCATTTATACAAAAAAAAATCTTTCAGCGCTAGACCATTTCTGTCAATTTAATTGTGCTTTCCCACGTTGACGAAGTTATTTTTCTAAACTCAAGTAACAACGGTTTTTAAAAATTGTTGTAAACTCAGATTAGATTCAATCTAATGCTTGCAAATGTAGAGCAATATTTAAAAAAATTGTCAGTTACATAAAAACAATGAAATCTCAGTACAACATAATTTGAAAAAAACAGTCAGCCTTATTTAAATTGTAGAATATTGTCATTGTAGTGTGTTCTGTCTGAAGCTATTTTGAAGAAAGTTCGGTAGAAAATTAACGAAGTCGGTGTGAGACTTCTATTAAGTTAACGTAAATTCTTCATCATCATCCTAGTTTATGATTTCAGTTAATCATAACACTTTTCTTTTTTCTGATACTTCGATATTAAGAAACATAGTACAAATCACCATTTGTTACATTCAATTGCGCAGTAGAAATGGTCATTAGACGCGTAAGGAAATCCAGTCAACTTTACCTTATCATCGAGAGGTGATTTTGAATGGCCTCGCCCTGCTTGAGAACTTTCCTCATCATACGGTTGATGAGTCCAATTTTTTCTTTCTGCTTCTTGGATTTATTTTCCTAAATGAAAACGAAACAGATAGAAAAAAAAAAGACGAAACAGACAAGTGATGATTACCCTTTTTTCGGGTGGAATAAATGTCGATGAAGTAAAAGAACAGAATTTCGAAATACCAACCTTGCGCGATTTTGTGCTTTCCATGTTGGCTTTATTGATTTTCAGGCGAAATTGTATCTGCAATTTACACGCAATAGGACGAAAGAAAAAGAAACAACGGTAACATTTTATTATTTGGAATAAAACAATATTTGATGAGGTTCTCTTGGCTATTAATTGGCTGACTCGGAATGGGTTGTGCAGGGCAGTGTCAGGAAGTGGACAAGTAGGTAAGGGGAGAAATAATGGAAACGGCAATGACGAAGCGAGGTCGCTGTAGATTGTAATTCATGTTACACAGGTACCTCATTCTTGGCATCGCCCCACGCGTTCCAGATCGAGAGTATTCGTGTGTCGCCAGTCAGTACTTGTTCCACCTCACGCCATCGTTCCGTTATCACGTAATCGTTGACATCACGTGACACTGCGACATCTAAACCATTATTGTTGTTGCCAAGCCAGAATGAGAAATGGTAAAGAAAAGAAAATGTAATTAATTCTCCTAAATGAGTCATGTTCTGTATGTAGGTATTAGGTTTTTAAAGTACTGATACAAACATGGTACATATATTGGTCGTATACATTCGTATGATTGAGTCACCATCGTGGCGAATGGAATAACGAAATGGAATCAATAAGATAATAATACATTATGGTTTATATAATCGACGAAAACATAAATATTAAGGACCTTAAAACAAATGCAATGTCGTTCTCTTTATTGTTATGATCAAATAGTACGTAAATTTTCTGATAAATGAAAAGCTGTTTTAGTGTAATCGAAATTTTGTGATGAAATATACCAAAGGAGCTTTTCAAAAGCTTTCGCTACGAGTGAGCGGGGCAGGAAATATATAATTATATTTTTTTTTTTTTTATTATAGTCACTTTAACACTCTTGGGTCATTCGTGACTTGTCCGGGGGTGAGATTTGAACTCGTGACTTTGGCGTGAGAGGTAAGGATGTTAACCACTACGCCGGGGTCGCCCCCGGGGCAGGAAATATAGTAAGCCCCCCTCTCTAACTACGCTTATGAGATTGAGCAAATGTTTTTGCCCAAATCGTTGGGTAAGAAACTCAGAAGCTATTTCAGTTTGAAACTTTACTATGAGTGAGAGGGCGTGAGTATAGTAAATTTCCACCGACAAAACCGACAGATGTCGCCCCGCCAGTGGTGGATAAACCAGTTTTGATGTATGGAGATTTTTAGATTCTCGATGAGAAAAATTTCTACACTTAGTTCTTTGTAGTAATAATGACATTATGTAGAAATAATATAACGGACAAAGTGCACCATTATCGATATATTCAATTAAAAGATAATTTCTCCTTACATTCTGAATTCGATTTTTCACCAGCCCATACGATCGAAAGTAGCTTGTCCTCATTCCCTTTTGTTTCCCGGTATCACCTCGATTGCTTGTGATCACCGAACAATAGGTGACGGTGTGAGATGAGTGGCTTTTTGTCACGGTAGTGTGGTGTGTTCTTGATTTAATATATAATATAAACAAGTGCGATCATACAGTGTTTTGGCTTGGTTCTGCAGCAAAATAGAAATTGTATGGAAGAAAAGTTAATCGTACCTAATTATCCCGCAGTTTTAGATTTGGCTAGAGAAAAATAAGCTTGGAAGCTTCGGAAATGTGCTGCTGGACAGTATGTTATCGTAATGTATTGATTTGGTGAGTACGTTTCGTTGAAAATATTCTTACAAATTTATTTTCATTGTTATTGATTTTTGTTTGCTTCCCCTTCGTGTGATGACCGATTAGATTTTGATGTGTTGTCGGAGGCGTACGCGTCCTCCCTAACACGATCATGAGGGCCGTACAGTGGGTCGTGTTTGTTTGTTTTAGGTCAGTAACTCACTTAAGTGTCCGTGAGATATTACAGCGAGAGTCAATTGCGAAAAGGCAAAGTTAAGTAAAATTTGTGCAAAGGTTTGTGGCCTACATGATGATGCGTGATTTTTAAGAGCCTAAGGTCGTATCAGTAGTTGTGATGCAATCCTATGAGGATTGCTATAAAAAAATGGTTTTGGGAATTATGAAATCATTAGAAGATATAATAATATTTAGTACTTGTAATTTACAAGAAGAGGTTGTAAAGTATGCTTTTGACACACAAAACTTGTCAATATTACTTTCAAAGCGTCACAATCAGCGATTTTACGATTCGTGAGCGCTCACTCTGAGTGAACACTTACGAATCATAAAATCGCTGATGTTGACGTTCTGAAAGCGAAATAGACAGTTTTTATGATTAAAACACATACTTTTCAATCTTTCATTGCATCTTACTAGTACAGAATATCCTTATAACATCTAGTGATTTCATTATACCGAAAAATATTTTTTTATAGCAGGTGAGTGGAAGCAACCCTGCTTATGATTTTTTTTCTTCTGTTCGGGACCTAACACTACTGCAACCAGTAAATTGATCTATTGTAGTATATCCCGTGTTCTTAGTTTAGTGCATGTCGTATTACTCCATCACTATTGAGAAATGATGAAGTATTCGTTTTTTTACAGTTGCCACTTTTGAATTTATCGCAAGGAACCGACTCTAATTGAAAGGTCCCGCTATTTATACCCTTCGGAGTGTTGAAACATCCTCCAAAGGCGCGCCCCTTTGTCAGTCAAAATTGGATTCCTTAGCAACAAAATTAAGGTATGACACCGATAATGACCATGTACCAGAACCCTAGTCTTGGTGGAGGCGAACCAGCCTAAGGCTGAAAGCCTCCTTAATAAAGCTAAATAATAATAATAATAATAACCCTAGTCTTAACCACTTCAAACTAGGGAACAACGAATAGAAGATTAGGAATCACATAGATGAAGACAACTAACTCATTTTTTTCCTTGTTTCAAGATCATCCTCGGTAGACAAAGCCAAGTCTTGTCACTATCAACAAGGCATAAAAAGTAACAAGGACTAAGATTTGTTCCTTGGATTACTGAAAAATCCTGTTCCCCTAGTTTGAAGTAGTCAGGTCTAGGAATCGGTGGTAGATCTTACATCCCGTAAAGTACCACGAAAAGGTGATCTACCCACGTTACGGGGCAACCCTGCTTATGATAGTGGCTCGGTTGTCTAGTCCAAAGGTTTTTGCTTTCCAAGCAGAAAACCATGGGTTTTATCCCAGGCTCTTTTTCGTTACTGAATTGATAGGGTATAATTAGCCTTCCAGCCATTCCAAAGATCGCAAGTCTTATTCGCGTCAATTTCGGAAATGAATACATAATATTAAAACTACGATCGCATAGCTTATCAAAGTGAATCCTGATCAGGGCGTCACAATATCAGCTTCAATCGACAAAATCGATGCGACGAGGCGACTGCAAGCTTTATTTTTCCAGCCTTACGTTCTAAGCGTGCTTCTTTTTAATTTTCGTTTCGTGCTAGTAATGATGCGTTAAACACGTTGCATGTAAGAAACCAAACTCTAGAGCTTCGAAAATGTAGAGCATTGATCCTGACCCATCGAATCCACCGTACTATAAAAATATGCATCGTGTGACATTTGTAGCGACGCAGAGGTAAACAAGGTCCCTAAAACAACAAAGGTCACTCTAGTATCTAGAAACCAGAGTTGCGTGCTGTCAACAATGTCAACTGACGTAAGATATTGATCTAGAACTGAATTTCACTTCCGACACTGATATTCGTATGAATATCACTAGGGAAAAGTTGAAAATCTAACTTTTATCTCAATAAATCACCTTTTTTGTATAACTACTGCATTGTTTTAGTATTACTGATGAGTTTTCTAAGAGTCGGCACTCGATTAGCTGGCGTATATAAGAACAATTTGCGGCAGAACATTTAGTGGCAGTGGTATTGATATTCTAACTGTGCGAATTGATATTGACATCAGGTGGCTTGTGAAATTCAGCATTTTTTAGGTATTGATATTGATATTTTGCAGCACTGCTAGAAACTATTGATATGTGCAGTCAGCCTGAGCTGATCCAAATCCACCACGAGTTGATTTACTAGCCGCAGTGCACCTAGAGTCGAAAATTCAGCTAACATAAAAATTATGAAATTATTTTAAAAGCATTCTGACATCACAGAAATTGTTCATGCGGGGAAATATTACAAATTTAGTATGCTTTTCATGGAAATCTGTAATAGAAAGCTACATTTCTCGGTTGGGTGTGGTAGTTCTTACACAAGATTGTAGCGATTTTCCAATCTATATCTATATATTTCTGTCTGTCTGTCTGACCCTTATAGACTCTGAAACTACTGAACCGATGGCGAGAAAATTTGTATGCAGGGGTTTTTGGGGCCGGGAAAGGTTCTTATGATGGTTCGAGACCCCTCCCTCCTCTGTGAGGGGGGCTTCAATACAAATGAAACAGAAAAATATAGCATGCTTTTTTGAATCGGCGCATAAACTCAAGCTAATATTGAATCCCGAGCAAGGTCGGGCACACTCAGCTAGTAATCTATATTTTTGCGAGATGATTTTCTGATTCCGAATGTTCTGACGCCATTCGTCAAGGAGATGATGATCGAGTGATATATGTTGTCCGAGCTTCGAGCATCAAATACATCAAGATCAGGATCAAGATAGATGGTAAAACGGTATATATTTTTTATCTCTGCAAATTATTTGAACCGGTACAATACGAAAGAAACTTATTCGAAGCCTATTTAAACGTAGTCAAGATAAACTAAAACTATCAGAGAGCATTCGACAGTGAGCATGCATAAGGGCGTTTACGCGATGATCGATTCTCTTCATCGATTTTCTCTTTGCATTGCTACAGCTAAGCGATACAATTTTCTAGTATTTATTCAATGCAGAGTTCTAACAGGTTGTATTGGTTAATTGGCTATATATAAATATATAAGCAACAGCAAACGTAACGTAAACTAAATATATTAGCAACAGCAAACGTACTGAGAAACTTTAAATCTAGCGAGCTATTAACAAAAGAGAAAATCGACGAAGAGATTTGACCATCGCGTTTACGCTCTTATGCATGCTCACTGTCGAATTGATCAATTGAGGGGGTTAGGCCCACGCACATTAGACCTGGATCGGACGCGTTGCGACAAAGTGACAGCTAAATCTATTGTCTAACTGTCAAATTTACGTCAACGCAACGCAAACGGATCTAATGTGGGTGGCCCTTTAGAAGGAAAGGGGTGTAAGTGATTTGGATCGATTCTCTTCATCGACTTTCTCTTTCGTTAATAATTCAGCTACAAACACATTCCTTGATTCATGTGCCTCCTTTATCAAACTATGTGGTAGAAATAGCGCAAAAGCTGTTATAAAGCCGGGCTATCAAAAGAGAAAGTCGACGAAGAGAATCGATCAAAGTCATTTACACCTCTTTAATTCTAACCCCCTCAATTTAGATAGTCAAGTTTTGAACCCACCACGGCATGCTGTCGGCGCTACTGTATATGGACGATCAAATGTAAAATACTGTGGTAGCCACAGCATAGTTCTGTCAAAACTTCATTGATCTATTCTGACATTTCCATGGGTTCAAAGCCCTCTTAATGAAGAGCTCCCATCTGACACTAATTCGGTGTTTTAATTCACTGTTATTCACGATGAAAATTAGGCATTAGGTCCTTAAAAACATTGATCGATTCTCTTCGTTGACTTTCACTTTAGTGAGTAACTTGAGCACATAACCGTTTCTTGTTATGTTTATCGTATTACATGCTAGATAAACGCGCCTTTCATCGATTTGTGTGCTGAAAATACCTGGGAATGTCTTTACATGGCCGTGGAGATACAAAGAGAAAGTCGACGAACAAAATCTGTCAATGTTACTTAGGACCTAATGCAATGTTCAGCTTGAATTGTTTTAAAGAATCTCAGATCCACTATTTTTTTTAATTGAGCCTTATCGGATAATCAAATTGAAAAAAAAAATATAAATAATTTTCATTAATAAATCTCTTGGTAGCATAATTAATGTACTCTACTGCCTACTTGATATAAAAGGCTATTGATATCGGTCAAATTTTTGGCTAGTAAATGAGAGGTTTTTTTTTCAAACATTTTTCCATAATAACTTTAAAATTCGCCCGCAAGACGCATCAAAATTCGCTCAAATTTGGCAAAGTTGTTGGGGGTCTCAGTACAAATCGAAAGAGCAGCGGGACTGAGCATTGTAGTCTACCATACAAAATTGAACCTCCCTATTGCTCACACACCCTTGGCAAAATCAGGTTTTAACTGAATGATCTTACATTTGAGTAAGGTTGATCAGGACCCAATTTGGAATCGTTTAAGCCCTGTGGAGGGACAATTTTGAATCTTGTAGATCCATCCGTGTCCTCAGATAGTCAAGTCAGTTAACGCACGGTATTATCAAGCCAGAGGTGGTGGGTTCGTTTCCCGGTCTAGTCTAGACAATATTAATGGTTGAACAATTCCTTGACTTCCCTGGGAATATAGTGAATTTGTGCTTGCCACACAATTCATGTAATTTTGGCATAGAATGCTCACAATAAATAACTGTTAAAATGCTTGAAAGAACACTAAGAGCTGGTAAAATGCTCTCAAAAGAATCGGAAAAAGTCTAGAAGAATAAGAAGTGGAAGCATATAAAATCTAACATTTTTTATGTTCGGCAAACAGTGTTCGTTAATTTGACCCACATGCCCGAACTCGGGCTTACCTTTCTGGTAATTCTCATTCTGCAGCTCATCGTCGATCAGCGCCTGAATAATGTTGTTGCAAGTTGTGGCATCGTTGATTCCAGCCACGAACCTTGGCTCACCTCGGATCCAAATGGGAACCTCGATTTCGTCATCGGATGCTGTTCCTCCTTCGTGATTGTTGGCACTTCCTAGTTCCATCATAGGTATTTCCTCCTCATCCGTATCGTTGGCCGAGTCACGGTAGTAGGTAATTGGGTTCCGCTGAAAAGCAACAGAAATAAATAAAAACTAAATAAATTACTCCAATGTCCGAATAATTGTATGCACAACAATTTCCCGACGAGCCTGACTTGAGATCGGAATAATAAACCAATAAGATTCAATAACCATACTGCCCACATAGTAACAATTGAAACAATGACCATTACGGCATCCAGCAATAACTTTGAAGCAGCGCGGAACGCTACGCGCTACATTTATCTAATATTTTTGATTTACATCACAGAGAAAGCTCACCGAAAAGCCCTGCTATGGAAATTAAGCAGCCAACATTTTGATAATTATTGTTGCTTCCACCCGCACTTGTTCGCTACTTTGGAGGCTGTCATCGACCGGTACGACGACGACGACGAAGCACAAGTCATAAGAGAGACCAGTATAATGAGACATGGTGCAATAGAGGAGAAGAGTCTCATCTGGTGCACTTGAACGGCAGCACGCGTAATACCACATGCCTAATTTGATCTTCCACACAAAAATTGAAGGCTCTTAATTGTTGTAATAAAAAAAATAACGACCTTGGATGCTAAATGGCATGTTTGGGAAAATAATGCGGCGAGATGATGCTCCAGCTGTGCGACGATGATTTCGGATGTTGGGCGGGTGTACAACAGAACTTGAGTCGATGATGACGATGATGATGATGATCGCGACACTGGAGATTTATGCGCGCATAGCGTTGTGGATGTGCCTGCTGCAGCTTTTCAGCCTTCTCAATCAATTTGAATAGGTGTGAAACGATAGATGAGAAGTCTAGATGGGTGGTGTGTTGTATTTGGGGAGATAGTTCCATTAGCACATGTGGCCGTGATGTTCGACGAATGGATCCTCAAGTGGGTAGTTCATTTTTCAATTGAGTGGGTGTTTATTAAGTGCTGGGCGCAACTATTGAATACATTATAATTCAATATTTTTTGCCTCATTGAAGCATCGATGCATCCTAATCTCTTAAAAGATGTTTGACTTTACTATTACTACAATGGTGGACCCATTCGGGTTTCATCATCGTAAACATCAATTTTGTAAGCCTCTGGCTTGCATAAGCCTTTGGACTTTCTACTTAGCTATAGGGGAAATGCAATAATTTTTCCGGCGGACCATGACCATCTCCCCGTCTACTAACATCAAATCTATGATCGCTTAGTGCAGTGAAAAGCGATTAGTGAATAGCGCTTTGCCTGTTATCATTCGGGCAATCAAAGCTATTAATTTACTTCTCTCCTACTCCCGCACCCCAAATGGGTGGAGCTGGTGGTGGTGTCAGAAAAGACCTACAAAGCAATACGAAAGTGCGCGACAGGCTTCGTTCGAGTGGTCGCGGAAAAATGGCACTAAATCTACGGTTGTAAAAGTTTACTGCTTTTCGACCTGGTTCCATCATCATCATCATCATCTGACAGTCAGCATTGCTATTCCAGTTAGCGGACAGCAGAAGATCCATCAAGCAGAAAGAGTAAACCTTCTCTTTCATTAATTTTCACCAGCTACCAGTGTCGTAGCTAGAGGGTTCGTGGTGATAGTTGCGACGAAAATTCAGATTTTTTGTTGTTCTTATCTAAAATGTACAGATTCGAATATTTTATAATGTTACATTATAAATGTGTGCCTCAGGGTGGGTCAAGTTTGTATAGTGGATCACTTGATCTAAAGTAAAAAGTGAATAACTTTTTACACAAAAGTCGGTTCGATTTCTGATCTTGGACAAAGTTATTCTAGATAGGTTTCCCAATATAAGTCTCAGGTTGGTCAAGAATGGTTTCGTTCCGTTTCTTAAAGTTCTCCCGCAAATTCCAGGGCTGTTACGATTTTGCGTTTCACGCATTTTTATAGCTCTGTGGCACAGATTTCACGGAAAAAATTTCAATGAGAATGAAACCATTGTTATTATTGTGTTTTTCAATTATCAATTCACATTTCATTCAAGTGGTCATAATAAATATTTAAAATTTGATACATGAAACGTTCATAGGACTTTAAGCTCTATGAATAGTGAAAGGTGAATGGAAGATTCGTCAATATTACTATGTCCTGCCTCACAATATCTTGCTTTTCAAAAATTACTAAAACTTTGAAAAATTCCGGGGTTATCGAAACCTCAGAATACAAACCTACAAACCCGAAGAAATGAAAGATATTTGTCATTCTAGGGACTACTTATAGAGATTCTTGCACTAGAGCTCCAGAAACCCCGCGGTGGCAGACAGTCTAAAAAGGTTTGAGCCTCGTGCGTATTACGAATATAGAGGACTGAATTTAACAATTGATAACATAAATTGAACTTTGAAGCTTATTCGGAAGATGCTTTGAATTAGTAGTAAGTTTTAAGGCTGAATGTCGGGGCCACGTGAGCAGACTCTGCCTCCCGGACGGTTATACGTGTGTGAGTGGTGGTTTCCTCGCTTTCCGAGAAGGTTTAGAATCGAGAAAGAAAACATGATTCATCATGTTTGCAAGCAACAGAAGATTTGACGCTATCTGCGTTGTTTGATTTTTTCTACCGGTCCAGAAATTTGTGACATCGCGAGCGATAATTAAAATTTAAGTTTATTTACTCGGTGATGATGTTGGTTCACTCGCAACTATTTTGAAAAAATTAAGTGTTTTGAACAAAACTGCTTCTGAACGTGTTTCGTAGTTGGGTGTGGTGAAATTCGTGCATTCCCGGTTGATTTTGGAAATCCGTATCACAAAATTGCCCACCGATTCCTTTTTTTGCCGTTCGACGACGACGGGTGTGCTTTCGCGAGAGTGACGTTTATTTGATCCGTTTCTTTGCACGGGTGTTTTTTTTGTAACTAGCGTAAGTGTGCCTGCGATTTGCATTGAGTGTCGGAGATTGTAAGTAATCTGAAGGATGTCTCGCTGGATACGCCCAAGACTGGACGGGCAGTAGCTGGTGGCCGTGAACGGTTCCTGGGGAAAGCACTAGATGCGACCCCCTCCCAGATGACCATGACAATACAGGAAGTATTGGTATTGGAAGGTAATTGCTATTAGATATTTTGCAAACAGTGACAGATAGTGGACATGAAGAACCAGTGGAGGTGCCGGGCAAAGGTGTTTATCCTAGACAAATAGTAAGTTACAAATTTGCTGTTGTCGTTGTCGTAGGCGCCGTCGTAGTCGCTGTCGTAATCGCCGTCGTAGTCGTAGGCAGTACCGTTAGTATATTTGAAATTAACCACCAACCGCTGAAAATATGAATTATCGCGTATTTCTGTTGTTCATTATATGCCAAGTAAAATTCGAAAACGTAATTTCAACTAGGTCTTAAACAATCGTCACGTCGGTCATAGCTTGTTATGATTACCTGAACCATGCGTAAAGAAAAAATCGAAACATTTAACGTCGCGTGAAAATGGATCTTAATAAAGGCCTCTTTAGTAGCTTTTAGTTTAAGAATTTCAAAGATCGTCGGTTGCAGTGGCTTGCTTACTGAGCAGAAAAACGTGGTCCTAGATCCTTTCATATTAAAAATGTATGGTTATTTTGTAAAACTTTTCGTTGTCGTCGGGGCCGGGTCTGAATAGTCATAAAAACTTGAGTAACGCTATAATGTGATATGAGGGGCTTGGTGGCCTTAGCACAACCGGTTTTGCTTACTGAGCAGAACATCATGAGTCTAATCTTAAGCCCATCCACATTCAAGATTCGTCAATCGTTTTATTTGTTAACATGACTACATGGTAATAACAGCAACTCGATGATTAAAAAGGAGCTCGTCTGCCTAGTGGCAAACGTTGCCGGCGTCGGTGGTGTAGTGGTAAGCGTGACTGCTTTCTAACACCCCGATGGGTCTGGGTTCAATCCCAGCCGAGGTCGGTGGGATTTTTCTGAGGCATAAAAATCTCTGGTCACGTCTTCCTTCGGAAGGGAAGTAAAGCCGTTGGTCCCGGCCCAATGTGTGTTGAATGGGTGCGATATCCTACGCAGGTGTGAAAGCTGCCTTCCTGCACATTCGATTGTCGTCAATGGATGGCAATCGATGTCCGTCGGTGATTGGCACTAGATTGCGGAACAGAGACCGACGTTAAATAAAAAAAAAAAAACATAGTGGCAAACGTTTTTGCTTACTGAGCAGAAGACCTTGGGTTCAATCCCAAGTTCCTTCGCGTTATATGATTGTTAGGACATCAATTCAGCTTATCGTTTACCAAAACGAACCCTGCTGCAAACCCAACCCTATTACCACAAACGAAGTGACAGACGACTAATTGGCGAAGAAATCAATTAAAATAATGTGGTTCGCTGTAATAGAATTTTCTTAGAAGATTGTGCCATCATCCACCAGATGGGATAGTATTTTTGTTTTGGTTTTGCACAAAGTTGATTTTGTGTACAATGATTCTTTAACAGTGTGCAAAGAGTGCGTATCATTTTGTTATTTTTTTATGCATTTCAGTTTTGAGTAGAGTGAAAGAGATAGAACCAAAACATTCTAGTACATTTGGTGAAAATGCTAGTTCAATCCAGTAGTAGTGTTGCCATGTGGTACAATCTACTAGTAGTGGTGTTGCCATGTGGTACACTGAAAAATTGCAATAGCAGGTTAGTCACCAAAGTTTTCGAGCCGCTCCGTCTGTCACTTCGTTTGTGCTATTACCCAATATCCCAGTGATTCCTCGTGGAAGTGCAGAGGTGTTTTCGGCTTCCATCAAAGCGAGTGTCACGTCAACACATTCCTACCCCTTCCTTTCTTGACCTGTGTTCGGGCGCGGCCGGCGCTGGTATTGCCTAGTTTGAGATCACCAGTTTTTACACATTGAGGATGATTGCTAGTCCCAAGCATCGTCTATTGGTTCTCTGTGTAATTACAGCTGGTCTGGCAATAACAGAGTAGCAACCGTGGGCGGTCAATCATGCTCATGCTCATGCTCATGCTACACAGTTTGAAAAAATAGTGTAAATTTCCGTGTTCCAGAAGTACCTTGCTCTTTGAACTTAAAGTTTTGTTAGCCTCGACGGCTCCTGGAAGCAGTCTT